GAGTGTTTTATTAACTTAACACGGATCAATAGTAAATATCATATGGCTTATATACTTTCCTTCACGACTTCCAAAGAGCTTACCAAGGCTCAAAACGGGAACAAAGAATAAATAGCAGCTAATGTGGATTTGATTTTGTTAAACGTGATTTATTAGAAAATTGAATCTGGCCCTTTTTAGAATCACTGTGTATTATATTTCACACATTTCATTACCTTTGCCAAATGCAAAGTTTCCTGGTACAACATTTTACATTTTTTGTTGTTTTTTTCTTAAGTTAAAACTTGGAATTCAACCAGCCTTGTCTTCGCTGGCAAGAGGATTCAGAGGAACACTTGACAGAAGAGAATGAGGAGAGATGGTGTAATGAGATACTTGTTACTGAATGATGGTTGGGTTAATGAACTCTTCTAGGTTGCCTAGAGAGTTCCAAAGAAACAGATCAATATTAAGGAGCTACGCATCTAATTTGAAGAAATGAGGTTTGATCCATTTTCCAACTTCTATTTTTATGCTCCTCTTCTACGTCTGAGGGTCTTTGTTTGGGTTTGTGAATACAAAATCAAATGTTTATCTTCTTTATGAAACCCTTTTCCTTCTCTTCGTATCCACAAATATTGTAGCTGCCTTTGATTTCAATACATTGTTATGGATTGATGGAATGAATTTTTATTCATGTCAGTAACTGAGGATGGAACAAGGAGATAAATCAAGTGGGTGTATCTACAGGAAAAAGGGCTAGAAAAAAAGGTGCACAGAATATAGAAAATTTAAAAAATAGAATTCTATGAAAAAAGGCTGGCTGTGAATTGGATAGCAGGTGAAGAGATGGGTATTTTCACCTGGGAGAGAGTTAGAAAGGACTAATATTTAATGAGTGAAAAGAATTTGCGCAGAAATATGTGTCTGAGTGCTAAAGATTCAAGGGAGAAGACTTTTTTCTGTTGTTTTGAATGAGGGGACTTGATAAATCAGCAGGAAGACACAAGGCTCATTGAATTGAGAAGGAGTCAAGTCAGCACCTCTGTCTTTACACTTATAACTCAAACGTAGCTAGCTTGCATTTCCTTCTTTTGGAAATATTCTTTTAGAGCAAAGAGTTGGATTCAAATTGGCTTTCCCAACAGGCACTAAAATCCAGTGGAATTTTCAATTCTGACAGGCTTTCAAAATCCTGTTATCACACCCACCACAGCAAAGTAGCATTCCTGGAATCCTTGCAGAATCTGTTTCCTGACCTGGTCTACTTCGAAGAGTTATCAGCGGTGACTGGCTGAACAAGTGTGAGACCTCAGCAACAGCGGATTGCAGGTTCAGAATGCCAAAGAGTTTGCTAAGCTGATTCACACAAACAGCACCAGCCAGCAGTAGGACACACCCCACCTCCTCTTATTTTCTCTCCATCTTCAAATTCCTGGGAGGTCTTTCTGCCATCAAACATCTACCACCTCCCTCGATCTACAATTTGTGTTTACATGTGGAAAAGGTTCTCATTTTCCTTTTTCTCTGAATATTTGCCACTAAATCCCAAGGAAGGTATGCTTGTCTTTCTTCTACTCCTTTAAAATTTGGAATTTATTCTTTTAAAACACTCTTTAGTTAGAAGATCTCAATTGCATATTAATTCCCACATAACACATCAGTCCAGCGGGGACTGCCGTTCTTACGTAATCTCATCTGAGCATTAACTGAAAGATCTTACAAAGGCTGAGAACTGTTTCTAACTTCAAGGAAACTCTTCAGAATACCTCTTAGATTAAAAAGTAGCTGTAAACATAAACAATATAAGCTCCTTGCACATTTAGCTATTGACTAAAATGCACACTTGTACAGGGGTGAAATTCTGCAGGTTCTCACAGGTTCTGGAGAACTGGTAGCGGAAATTTTGAGTAGTTCAAAGAATTGGCAAAAACCACCTCTGGTTGGCCCCAGAATGGGGTGGGAATGGAAATATTGTAATATCCTTCCCCCAAGAGTGGGGAGGGGATGGGGTTTTGTAGTATCCTTCCTCTGCCATGCCCACCAAGCCACGCCCACAGAACCGGTAGTAAAAAAATTGAATTTCACCACTGCACTTGTATGGACTTTGCTTTAAATCACGGGACACTTAGATTTAGTCTTCATATTCCACATATTTCCCATTCATGCCTCATGGCTAACTGTTCAATTATTAAGCCATGAATTGCTCAGGCACCCAAAAACGCATGAAAGGCCAACTGTGAAGGGCCGATGGCCATGGCATTAATCCCACTTACATAACTTTGTTTCTGTTTCTAGCTTTACACTTATGTCATTCCCTTTGCTTTGCTTCCAAACTCAGTCTTGGGTTTTATTGTCCATATTTTAATTAACAAGGTTTCCTTGTAATTTTATGAGCATAATTAATAATTGAATTGCAATCATTTTGGAAACAAAATGATGAAGTGTTTTAAGACCTTTGTTCCAAAGAGACACATTAGACCAGTGTTTCTCAACCTTGGCAACTTGAAGATATCCGGACTTCAACTCCCAGAATTCCCCAGCCAGCGAATGCTGGCTGGGGAATTCTGGGAGTTGAAGTCCGGATATCTTCAAGTTGCCAAGGTTGAGAAACACTGCATTAGATTAAAGATGATTATTTTTTTTAAATGACTAAGGTTCTGATGGACATGTTAGGATTGCAGGAGCATTTTCTGAGCCTTTTTGGGAGACAAAGGATGCTCAGCTTATATATCTACACCATATTGCCCAATCCATTAAAAAAAAATCCTGTACATTTTGGTAAATGAAGCAACGTTTCTCTTGAGGTTCTGTCACAAACGTGCTGAAGCAGCTGGCTCTTATTATATAATGAGCTCTCAAACAAGCAGGAAAATTATGATTTATCAAATTAACTACTCTCAAATTGGGGAAGCGACATGATATGGGATTTTTTTCCCTTCCCTTCTGTATTTTGCAATATTGCGATGCAAAGCATGATCCCAACAATGCGAAGCTTTCTAACTATGTCTTGGGAAATACTCTGCATTTTGCTTCCAAGGACAGTTTCATTCATTCTACAGGGATACACAAATCCAGAAACCCGTGCTTGAGATCTTTGTTATTGTTCATATAATAAATGAAAAATATGAAGACAAGTGAACACAGTTGTCTTTCCATAGAAACAGTTTTGATGAGTCACCATAAAAAACTCCATAAAAACAGTTAACAAGATCAATAATAGTCGGTGTGTATGTTAATTATAAAGGTAAAGGTTCCACTTGCACATACTGAGATGGTGGCTCAGTGGCTAAGATGCTGAGCTTATCGATCAGAAAGGTCGGCAGTTCAGTGGTTCGAATCCCTAGTGCTGCGTAATGGAGTGAGCTCCCATTACTTGTCACAGCTTCTGCCAACCTAGCAGTTCAAAAGCATGTAAAAATGCCAGTGGAAAAATATGGACCACCTTTGGTGGGAAGGGAACAGTGTTCTGTGCGCCTTCGGCATTTAGTCATGCCGGACACATGACCATGGAGACATCTTCAGACAGCGCTGGCTTTTCGGCTTTGAAACGAAGATGAGTACCACCCCCCCAGAGTCAGGAACGACTAGCACATATGTGTGAGGGGAACCTTTGCATTTACCTTTTATGTTAATTATTTCAGAACAAAATAATTCATACAACATATGATCAAAAACAGCCAATACTTCCCACAGATGGCGTTCTTGGAGTTAATGCATACTTCTATAAAAGGGTCTAGGAACTCACCATGGCCAAGTCATCGTGGGACAACTCATCATTGGATGACAAGAGTTACACTAATATTGAAGAAATGGTGGAATATAATAATTAAAGAAAGAATGCCAAAGAAAGAACAAAATGGCAAAAATGACATGTGAATGTCAAAAATTAAAATATTTTTAAAAATAGTTTAAATCATTAAATTGAGTTCTCAAATTGTCCTTCAGCGAGTTATCCCTCAGCGACTTGTGAGTTGGCCGTGGCAAATCGTCCCATAAAATACCAGACAGAGAAGGCTGGAGAGATGCCAGTTTCAAACTAGGAAAGTTTGGTAAGTTACACCCATAGCCAGCTTTCCTAAGATCCTCAAGATTTCACCGGAAATTGAAAATTTACAAACAGGATTTAAAAAACCACTTCTGAAATGGAAGCCAAGAAAGTTCAACCAAAAATCAGTGTTACTGGATATGATACTCATATCCCCAAACATGCCAATATATACGAATATCATGTATTCTAAGGCTGTTTCCTCCCAATGGCTTTTGTTCATGGCCTTCCCTAGCCATCACTGAAGTGATATGAAGTCATAGGCGTGTAGAATCAATTGTAATAACCCAAAATGAAAAAAAAAAGCAATCATCATCACATCATCATAAGGCAAACCATCTCTTTTTGTATTTGCATGCTGGTATTAGATACAAACATGTAAGCAATTTGGTTTGCTTTGTGACATTTTGACATATATTGTCACTTAACCCCCTTCGCTCTCCTGCAAATGTGGGTGAATGAAATTTGTTATTTTACTTTTCTTTTAGTTCAGTGATATTAGGATGACTCTAGAAGATATTATATACATTAGTAATGGGGGAAAATTAATCTTCCAAAAACCTTTTTTCCCAGATTTACAAGCAGCTAATTTAACGATCAATGGTGGCAACCTTACATGTATTTCTAACTCACTTGTATGTCAGGAATATTTACATGTATCTTCATGAAGGAAGAGGTTCTACTAAAATACATTTTAATAGGTCCTTGAATAGTATTAAGTCAATATCCCTCTGCTGAAACTAAAAGGGCAAGTTTTAATTTCCTGTGCTGGAACTCAGCAATGTATAATTTCTAAAAAAAAAATTTAACAATCAAATTGCAGATTTTGTTCTAACCATGTATGGTTGTTTATGTAGATATCACTATTTCTTTCATCTTTTTTGAGCCCTAACCCCAAAAGACATGGATTGAGGGGGCACAATGCCCCATGCTGCTTTGTTTTAACTGTTAGGAAAGAATTGAAATATCCTACCTTGCCAACGTACTGATAATCAGAACCTGTGTATTCCTCCAGAAGGAAGAACTGATTCCACATCCAGCTTCTTTTGGAACGACTAAGCTCTTTTCTGCTGTTTCTAGATAAATCCAAAACTTTTGGGTTTTCTGGAAAGCCAGTAGTCTTTTTGGATAATGGTATAGAATAACTTTGGTGAAGAGGACCAAACCAAAACAGGAACCAAAAGTAATGGTAAGTTCTCATGGTGGCAGTACAGAATGATGCTGAAGTGATGGTTTCTCCCCAACCTGGAATGTAAGCTAGTTCTCTGTGCTGAGGCCAATCACATTCCTTCTTTGTTCCTTAATGTGTTTTCTTCAAGTCTCGGAGGAACTCTGAAAGAGAAAGAAATGACAACTTATCAAGAGTTTAGAGAAGGCTATTTAGCACTCAGTGCAATAGCAGAGATGACAAAGAGGTAGATGCCATGGCCACAAAGAGAATATTATATGGCTCTTAGTTGCAGATTGCCATTTACATAAAGCGAATTCAACATCTCTGTTGAGTAGGAGGAATAATTGTGCGATTTATTTTGTTTGCTGTTCTACTTACTTGAAATATATTATTTTTGGCAATTTGATTATGTCTTTTACATGGTTCATGATAACCCTATTTATTTTAACACAAAAAAGTTGGTTTTCAATTGGTGCTAATTGAGAACCATCTGGCATAAGTGAAGACTTCCTCCAGATGTGTAAACCATGCACTGTATCATTTGTACAATTCTTGATTAGCCGTAGATAATGAGGTGGAGCATAGTCTAATCCGTGTTCCCTAGGGAGCTTTCTGCCTGTTTGTATTAATGAATAGTACTGAAAAAATAATTTAGAACCCTGGGTATTTTGGTGGTTCATTTTTAGTTCCAGTATTTGTCCTGAAGGTTTTTCTTAAAAATATTGATTCATCTCCCCATACTTTTAATGATTGAGCAGTGCATTTCTAGGAAAGGAATTTCTTTTTTTATTTTGGTGTTATATATTTGAAGAATTTCATTTTTCTCATGTCTTGATAAATCATGTTTTGTTTTATCTGTCAGATTCAATTCATACCAGCAGAAGCTAATAATAGGACATAGAATGTGAGGATCAAATTATCTCTTATCTTGAAGGACACAGAATAAATGTAGTGTAAAATAAGAGTGTAATAATACTACTTTCATTTGTTACAAATGTTCAGTAACAGGAAGTCTGTAGGAAAAGATCAAGCAGAGTCTGAGAGAGGTGGCACAGTGGTTAGAGTTCAGCTGACTGTTATCTGCAGTTCAGTGGTTCAAATCTCACCGGCTCAGGGTTGACTCAGCCTTCCATCCTTCCGAGGTGGGTGAAATGAGGACCCAGATTGTTGTTGGGGGCGATATGCTGACTCTGTAAACTGCTTAGAGAGGGCTGAAAGCCCTATGAAGCGGTATATAAGTCTAACTGCTATTGCTATTGCTAGGTGTCATAAGTCATGAGTTCCTGAGTGCCCATCTAAGTCCAGCCCAATTGAATGCCTTTTTATTCCCGTTCATTTCCCTTGATTGTTAATAGGTCAGATTTTTGTAGAGAGCTTAAGCTTGCAATAAATCTTTATAGTCATTTGAGCTGCTTGAATCTCCTGATTTCTCTACCGCTTGAGAAAACCCTTCCAATTAATCATATATTTTAGCCTGGCCCTGCCCAGATCCAAAACCATGTCCTACTTCAGTTTCTTCCTCTTCTCCCCACCAGTGGGGATGGTGACCTGCATAAAGTACCTTATAATGCTACTATAATTGACACATAGAAAAAAGTTTTTAAAAAGTTATTTAAAAATGCTATTGTACGTTGTACAATATCATGAAAAATTATGCCAAAGAAAAACATGTTGATTCATTTTCTCATCAGTTATAACACTGCCTTTTCCAAAAAGGATAACTTATTTCCAAAAAAAAACCCCAATCTTTAATGTCTGAAATAATATCACTTTTCCATTTCTCAGAAAAATTCTTCTGACAACCACCCATGCCTCATACAATAATCGTTTCTTCAAAGACAGAGTAAAAAAGTTTTGAGAAATAAGTCAGCATCAGTAACATTTAAGGATTCCACTGTGAATCCAGTTAAAGAATACTAAAATGCTATTGCAAAAAGATATTAATGGTTCCATTAAACTCACATTTTGTTTTACTTCTCCAACAAAGATAATCTGATGGCTATCCTTTCAAATACATTATTTGGGTAGAAGAATTCTATTTTCTTGCAGCAATAAGTTAGATAGCAAACAGGGAAGCTGTGAAACTGAGACAGAAGGAGATAAATGCTACCAATTTCTCTTCTGCAGCTTTTGAGGTCCATCAGACGGCACAACGGCTGATGCCTCTGAAAAATTCTGGAAGTTTTATTATCTGAAATTTTAATTTTTATCAGTACAAAATAAAGGACTGGCAATAGTGTTTTCCCCACACTACTAAATTGTTTCTGAGCACTGACTCCATTTCAAATCTCATTTGGATATCAATGGATAAATGTGTCACCGAGAACTGGTTGAAAGCATATTGCTTATGGCTACGGTCCTACTGGAAAAATAATTCACTTTCAAATATAGACGAATGGTTACAGAAAGTTTGATAGATAATGAAGATGAAAGCAAATCTCTTATATTTTAGACATAGGTATGGCTGCACAGGCGTTCTGTGGATTTAAAAAAAATACGCGCAACATAGTATGTGTGCATGTGAAATACACACAACAATAAAACAAATCTTTTGTAGATTTTATTGTAATTTCCTTCATTGCTGTGAGCCACCCTGAGGAGGGTGGCACACAAGTTTGATAAATTAATATTATCTCATATTGTTGTGACTTGAGAGATGAGGATGACTTTAATCCTGTTGGCCTTTCATAAGGAAGGCCTTGAAGATCTGGGACATGTTTCCTGGCTGTGGTGACATCCACGTTTATTTTTATTTTTCTCAGCTGCCATAGATATTTAATTTTATACTGTGTTGTAACTGTTTTTAATTGTTTTGTGATTGTTCACTGCTCAAAGTCACTTGTTAGTCCTTGACTTACAACAGTCCATATTAGTAATTGTTTAAAGTTACAACAGCACTGTGACTTATGACCTTTTTTCACACTTATGATCCTTGCGACATCCCCATGGTCACATGATAAAAATTCAGACTTTTGGCAACTGACTCATATTTATTACAATCGTGTTACTAACTTAACAATGGCAGTTATTCACTTAACAACTGTTATAAGAAGGGTCATAAAATGGAGCTAAACTCACTTAACAAATGTCTCACTTAGCAACAGAAATTTTGGGCTCATAAGTCAAGGACTACCTGTAAATAAATATTAATGGAACAGGAATAAACCAGAGATAAAACTGAGATTAGAAAAACTGCTAATGATCATGTAACTCTGAACCAAGTAATGGAACAATATTCAAAAGAACCTGGTCTTTTCTTTTTTCTTCTTTCTTTCTTTCTTTCTTTCTTTCTTTCTTTCTTTCTTTCTTTCTTTCTTTCTTTCTTTCTTTCTTTCTTTCTTTCTTTCTTTCTTTCTTTCTTTCTTTCTTTCTTTCTTTCTTTCTTTCTTTCTTTCTTTCTTGCGTGGATTATTTTTCCAAATGTCAAATAAATAAGACCCCAAATTTATCAAATATCCTTTGAACGAGTGACTCACTCTATCCCAGAAAAGTGCTGTTTATCAATCAACTCACAGCAGTCAATGTGCATATATGTGCCTGGGAAAACAAGTAGGCATAATGGCAGTGGAGGAAGGAGGCTCTGATGCCCACAATGCTACTAATCAGCCTTCTGATTTATTCAGCTATTTTCAAAATGAACCTCCACTTTCTTACAAAAGTTTTTTTTTTGATAGATTCTTTTTCACACTTGCGTGGGAGAGGGATTTAAACCCAGGCAAGGTAACTTCATAGGGCGTAGGGAACTCCTCCTCTCTATTAGGGCAGGCTGGATGGACGCACCTTCCCCACCTGGGGCTGGGAAAGAGGCATCCCACAGGTGAGTTAATTAGGGCAGCCACGGGTTGAACTCCTGCTGGGCGGCCAGAAAACAGCAGGCTTGTCACCCTGCTTGCTCTGAGTAGAGAAGGAAAGTGACTGATGATGAGTTTTGTTTCCGGTCCAGGTTCCTGGATTCTGCTTCCTGGGAATGAAAGTTTCTGTTGGCATGTATGGAGCTGAGCATCCGAAAACCTACTGGTGATTCTGTCATTAGTCCAAGCTGGATGGCATGGGGAGGGGGCAGTGGAGCTCACCCTGTTTGAGGCATCTCCCCCTTTTCTTTTCATTACCCCTCATAGAGGAAACCAGCGGTGAGCCATTATTCTTTCAGTCAAGCTGGGAAGAGCCACGGAGGATGGAGAGGCCGGCCGTTTAAAAAAACAGCCCTCCAAATGTCAATTGCCAGGGAGCGATGGCTCCTGGGAGAGGACTTTCCTCCACTTCAGATTGGTCGTTTTTCACTGCGTTGATATGGAGGAAGAGGTTATTAGAGCAGTCCTGGATGAAATATGGCTTCCAAGGAAGATACCACAGCTGTTAAATGTGATGTTTTAATGTCTCCCTGGCTAGAATATGCTACTCCATAGCAGGGAGTTAATCGTAAAAGATCTTACTTAACTTATTTTCGCATGAAACCTTTATCTGACAAAAATCACATATCCGAGCACATCCTTACAAATCAAGATTTACATTAGCACCGCATATTAAATAAAACATGGTGCCTTTTCTCTCCCTTTATTCAGCATCATGTGGCTATATAATTCAGCTCAGGGAAATAATAAAAAGAAATGAATCTGCAATTCTGGGCCATTTGACCAGATTGGATCCCTAGCAAAAGAGAAAACGGAGGAATTTGTATATGCGATGAACAAAATATCCTGCATGGAAAGGGGGGCAAAATGCAATAGGACACCAAAGGTTTGGAGAGTGCCTGGTAGATTGAGCTTGTTCTCATTGCTGCAGAGTGAGGTATTTCCAAAATGCTTTTTTTTTTTGAAGAAGCAATTAGTGAAATTAGTTATTGAGGTCTTCCTGGATGTTTGTTCTTTTTCTGTTGTCTGTCAAGAATTAATTAAATTTGTACAGCACTACCCAATGATTCTGGGTAGTAAAGTAAAACTGTTTGTACAAATACAATAAAAACACGAATAAAGAATAAAAGATAGCAAAGGTGACAGAAACCAGACTGGAATGGACAAAAGTAACAAATACCACCAACCCATAGGGGGCTTCAATGAACCTCACCAAAGGCTGGGCAAAGAGTCATGGCATTAGGGTCATTCAAAGTACCAGAAGGACGGGGGCCATCCAG